CTTCATAATTTCAGCAGTTATCCAAGGTGGCCTTAGACGACCTCTAAGTCTTATTCGAGGAACATGCCTGTCTATAGCACAAAATAGCAGGTCCTGGAATTTAGTCACGCTGTCATTTAAATCACTGGGTAAAATCACAGAGTCCCAGGGGATATGTTTCAATATACTCCTGGGACCATCAAAGTCGCAACACAAATGACAAGAGTCACAACACAAAGTCAAACAAAAATGACACTTGTGTTGAAACAATTTACTGCAAAAATGATTTCATTTCATTGTTTCTTGTCTCAGAGTGTCGAGAGTTCCATGCATTCACTGATAACCGCACTTTTACTGCGACATGCAATACATTTTCTGACCCCTCAATTTTCAAGCTAATTTAAGATAACAGTATGTTTATGAAACTGCTTCTGTCCTAATTTGTATAGGTAATCACATGATTTCAAGTGCAATTTGGAATAAATAAGCACGAATAATTTTTTAAAGACTAACAAAATTGCATGAGCCCGTAGGGCGAGTGCAATTTGTGGTCTTTGAAAAAGTTCACAAGGGCTTATTTATTCCGAATTGCACAAGAAAAATCATGTGATTATGTATAAATAATATATATGAAAAAATACGAGGTAGCTTATCATAATTATACAGAAGAAAAGCGCGCGCATCACGTGCAAAAATAATTTATTCAAACCTGCAAGTGACATTGACATTGACCAATTATTCTGACCAATGAAAATGTCTGGTTTGTTACTTTCTTTGCACTGAATTAACCCTTTGCTGCACTGAATTACCTGAAAACTAAATTTATCTTAACCAGTCAGCACTGAGTAATTTTTCATGTCTATTTTTTGACTAGAAATTATGTTTTCCAGCTCAGATTTCAAGAGCTTGATTTCAGATTTCATACGTGGATCGTGCACAGCCATAGCTAAATTTTTTGTCGGGTGGGTAGATCAGAAAGGGAGAAGAAAAGAGCTTGGAGATGACAGCTGAATGGTAATTATTAAGGCGTTATATGTAAGTGAGAATGAAAGCGCACCGCTCAAACTGCTCCATAATGTAGAGATAACAATTTGAAGAGCGTCTTTTAAAAGCCACAGAATTGTTATGTATCAAAAGACTCTTGAATAACAGCCGTAAACGTGCATGGAATTGTCAAAATCTACGTAATTTTTCATGCGGAAAACAACGCTGCCAAGAAGTGACAAATAACCATGCTCGTAAAGCGTTACGATATCCTTTATGTCCTAAGAGGAGTAGTTAACAATTTTCGATGTTGATTGGCTTCAATAACAGACAGAAACGATTTTCCACAGGGGCGGCAAGTGTTTGGGGTCGGGGGTAACGAATTCCTCCAATAAAATCACGAACCATAAGGCATGCTGCGTGCTGTGTGGTAAGTATCTCTTGAAGTCATAATGTCGCAAAAATTCTAATTTAAACAACCCACAGGAACAACTGGGTAATAATGTGAAATGCTGTCTTAATTCGCCTCTCAATATGTTTTTTGATGATTGAATGGAAATGACTGAAAGCACCTAATAGATACACAACTTAACCCTGGATTTTTCTTAAAAGAAAAATCTACGATTAATTAAGTCATGTATCTATTACGAAACTACAATGGAGGACTCAATAACACAGGAAGTACCAAATTGATTAATATACTTTATTTTCACGAGTATCGTAGAATCATCCATCATTCATCAGCTTTCTTTCATGGGAAAAAATGAAGGAAACATTTTTTTTGAACGGGATGTCTAGAGGACCGCTTTTAGCGAGAGTGCACTTAAAACAGATAAATTCAATTTTTAAGTTTTACATGTCCTACAGACTGCTAAATAATTCAGGCCATTTTCTGAAAACCAACATAGGAAGTTTACTGAGCCTGAATCAAGTTTCGTGACAGATTAGACTGACCACAATTCCCTCAAAGATTTTTTTCCTAAAGTTGCATCTGAGATGTTGAGCGTTACTTAACAGATCAGTTTTTTAATCAACCACATGCTCCGGTGACTTTACCTTTAAGATAAGTTAATATCTTGCAATTGTAACCTCTCGGTCTGTTGACTAACGGTACGCTATCTCTTTCATTTTTTGCCAAGGGAAGGATGAAAAGATCTGTAAGATAAAAAATTTATGGATAGGCAAACTACGAATTTCTGACTTATTGATTAGTGTAACTTTGGATTTTGGCCGGAATCGCCTCAGTAGGATCGTTTTGTCGTGCAGAAAAAATTATATTCATTATCAGCTTCGCAAAAAAATTAAAAGAAAATAAAATGCTGACGCGTGATGTGTTAAGACGCTATTACGGAAATTGAGTAGTTTGGAGTTTGAATATTAGCTGTAATGTCCACAGGAAAAGCCGGAAAACAAATGAACGCAGGAACACTACACAATCGAAAACAAAAGTGGAAGATGAATTTGGATTGATAAAAAGCAGCGTTCAATTATTCCATGTACATACCATATTCATCCTACCCGCCGATTTTGTAGTGGTATTGGTCGTGGCATGTGCTTTCTGAAATAGTGTTCCTTGCGTTGCAATACAACGTTTTGAAGATATTTTAATCAATCTGCAGCAACATCACAAAATAATCTTCTGTGAGACTCACTGCAAAGTCGTTGCAGGGAGAGGAAGTTTCTCTCATGATAGCTAGGCAGAAGAATCTCATCTCGACGCGGGGGAACACATCACGCTAAAAGTGATAATTGAACAGTGACTGAACTAAAGAACCGACTGAGTTATTCTACTTTAATGTTTTAGGATCTAGTCTAAATAAAATTATAGCGGAATACTATTCATCTAGAGGCGTTTTAAGCGTATTTTCTGATCTGATAGGTTTGGAGTCGTTGGTTTCATTTGGATTGAAGCAAAATAAATTTCTTTTTTCTCTTGATTGATTCCATAGCAAAACATTAAATTTACTCGTGCTCTCATAGTTAAAAACTGGGAAGTTATTGCTTTTTTCTTAGCGCCAAACGATCTTCAATTGCGTAAGAAAATTTTCGTTTCTCTTTTTCGTTTTTTGTTTTTCAATTTTCGCTGCGCTGTATAAAAACGAAATTGGATTTCAATTCTAGTTTTCGTCTTTCGTTTTCGTATGGAATTTGGATCACGGATTGCAAGTCAAGTCAAGTCATTTTTCGTTTTCCGCCAATGGCAATGAAAGTGACATTCTGTGGGAAAATTAATTACTTTACGAAGGAATTCTTTACGGTGGCACATAAGTGCAAGTCAAATTAAAGTCAATTAACTCAAAGCTAATCATGCGACATTAAAGAATTACTCACGGCAAAACGAATCCAACTCATGGCAAAACAAAATAACTCACGGCAAGATAAAATAACTAGCGGCAAAATAAAATAACTCGGGGCAAAAGAAAATCAACGCACGGAAAAACAAAATTTAAAAATTCAGTTGAGGGTGAACAACTGATATCGTTCAGACACTGACTGCGTATTGCGTATGACGCTGTGTATTTTAACATAGCGGATGAGGAATCTCCTTGTATTCGTACCCTTGCCTAAAATAGTATTTCAACAAAAGCCTCTGTTTGTCGAGTCTTTTAAAATTCATTTGAGGGTCAGATACTAACTGCGCATAACAATCTGTATTTAAAAAAGGCGGGTTACGAAATTTTCCTTGGCTGAGTCTTGCAAAGAAAGTGTGTTCTTGAATGAAAAGTTTTTGCTGTATATGCAGTTTTTTCTTTTGCCGTGAGTCTTTTTCTCTTTTCCGTGAGTCTTTTTCTTTTGCCGTGAGATTCTTCCTTTTACCGTAAGTCTTTTTCTTTTGCCGCGAGGTTATTTCTTTTGCCGTGACAGTTGTGGGCCACCGTTAAGTCTTCCAATTTTAGGTGCTTTTTGATAAAGGAGATTGTGCACTTATTTGAAGCCTTTCAGGGAAATTACGCACTAAATTAGAACTCGCCAATGGCGGATGACGAATAAAAATTCTGGCGCCGAGAAAGTGAAGTTAATTTAACATAAACAAGTTTCCATTTAATGCAGCAGTTTCAACAGCTCTTTCGTCATTAAAAAAATATTTTTTTTAAATGGCAGGTTGATTGCTATTTATTCCTTTTGGAATTCTTATATTAAAGGTAGAGTTTGGTCATGTTTTCCTCGTTGTGATCGTGAAGTTGACATGGAAACAGCTGTTCAGTTTCTACGGTAATTACAATTCGTGATAGTGTCTTGGGAAAGCTATGTTATTAATTAGTCCAGGTAGAGTAAATCTCTCTGTTAAAAGGTCACGTTCGACACCTCTCGTTCTTAGAGGTGACTTAAGGTGTAAACATGTGATACCCTTCATATTTCGCAATTAGATAGTTATTATGAATAACATGTGAACGCCCCTTCTTCTCCAACTGTTGTGATCATGGTGTTATGTAACGGTCTTCTAAGGTAATTTTCTCCTAAGATACCCTTTCAGGTGTGAATAATATTCTGTCAATAGGTTAGTTATGATTTGGATATTACCAATCTCGTTTCTGTTCTGGCCGATCTCAACTGTAAGAATAACAATTTTAAAGGTGGAATATGATTTTGTAACTGCGCAAATAACTCGAAGGCGTATACCTAGTGAGCAGGAACTGTCATACGTAATCTAACATGATTCGCTGGTTGAGATGGAACGATGACGATAAAAGAAGATTGACAGCTTAGTAGTGTCGCCTGCAGCGTCACCTTTATAAACGGTGACCCTCTTTTTTCTAGTTAGATAGAAGCTAGTCCCCGTTGTAACAAATTGAGAAGAAAAGAGATTAAAGAAGAGTCAACCAAACAAGCAACGCCGGTGTGTTAGAGATCTTACTTCTAACGATTTAAAGCAGGCCGAATAGCGACGACAGTAATATAAAGTCGAGCCTAAGCCATAAAATAGAGATGTACTTGACAGGACTGCCAAAATTGTTTGGATAAATTAATCCGTGCCAGGCATTACGTGCTGTTTAATTTCGTCTCAACCAATAAATTCGTCATTAGCCTGTCAGAATATGTGTAGGTAAACTCGTCAAGGATGAAGTTCAAAGTCCATGTGCAATGCAAGTGTATGGCAATTATGTTTTTTTCTTATGCTTATTAAATGCTTATTTATTAATTCATCTATTCATCTTCATTTAATGCATTATTATATTTTTTTATCTAGGTAGCAGTATGGGAAAACCAACTCTTTTCTTTGAGCTCGCACTTATCATGTTCCTCCTAAAAAGAATCAATGCGACAGACAGAGTTTTAACTTGCGGTATGTTCTATGCGATCAATGAAATTGTTAACTGTTTATAACCTCTTAATTAGGCCTATAGTGAAAGAAGAATTAAGTTTTTCAGCAAATAATAGGGACCTTCAGATCCGACTACGACTTCGAGTACGAGAACGAGATTACCAAAGTGCAACTAGCACGCATGCGCGATAGCGTGAGCATGTCACGCAAACTCGTTCTGTCTTCAAAATCTCGCTGCCGTCCTTTTAAGAACTACGAGATTTTCAAGAAAACTCGTTCCCCGAGTACGACTGAGTTCAGGCGGGTTAAAAGGTTAGTAAAAAAGTCTATAGCTTTTTTACAAGTTTCAAGCGACTCATACATGCACAAAGTCTACATGAAACAGTTACTGACAAATTGTTATGTTTGCTCGTTAGAAATTGCTTTTCAAGAACTGCGCTGTACTTTAAGTTCAAAGTCATGTGACGCGACTCAAGTCAAAGTGATCGTATGACCAGTAGGGAAAGGACGGATTTTTCTTGTTCACCGTTTCGAAAAGCAACGAAAGCTCGACTTCATCGATGATATCCTCCATGAACATAAATGCCAGAGCATCTTGTATGGTTTGTCTGCAAAAAATTTCCACGACCGACAAAATGTCGCCACTCCTTACTCACAACAACTACTGAAACATTTTTGTTACGAGCTGACGACGGCGACGACCATGTTTACGACAACTAAGCCCCAGGACTCCCGCGCGCAAAAATCGTACTCGTAATCGTACTCGTAGTCGGATCTGAAGGTCCCTAATCTCTCCACCATTACGGAGAGAACCATCATATAATGAAGAATTGCTGCAAATTAAGCTCTAAAATTAACGTGCTCATCGTGGGAATGCAGATAACGATGAATGTTTTTCAGCTCCCTTAGTTGGTTAGGGCCAAAATCAAAAGGCCGAGGATATTTTCTGCAATTTGGTGCGTATTTGGAACATTTGTCCGGAATGTTTCATGCCGACAATACCCCGATATAATTTCTAGAAAAGGTTGGTCTTAACATCGTATTTAGTTGCTTGTGAATCAGAAAAAGGAAAAAGGTTGTGCATTCCCGAAAAATATATATTCTCTCCTTTATGATTTATTAATTTTTTTTCTTTTTTTTTTTTTTGTAAAGAGAGGATCCGGAAGTCAGTCTGTGTCACGTTTTAACTGCTATTTTCGATTTAGCTTTTCTGACAATGAATATAACATTTGCAAAGCAACTGCAAAGATGCTTGTTTAACCTTTTCTGCTCTTTTACCTACTTCCATACAGGATTCATCAATGGTCTTACAGCTGAGTTTGACGCAGTAAACTCAGTCTTCAGTCATGTCTCTAGCTCGGGAATTATTTCGGTGGTATTGAAAGAATTCAACAATTCAGAGGCTGTGAACCTATTCAGCCACGGTAAGAAGACTGTCTCTTGAAATATTAATACATTCTGCAGTTACTCTGTTGTTCATGAATTATTTTTTAAAACATTTATTTTTAGCTTCAAACGTCATTGCGCTTATCGAGGGAAGTGCAGCGACGACACCCACTTGCGCACTCTCAACGGTGACAGGCATTCCTCTTATCCGTCTCCATGGTAACAACAGACGTTTAAACCAATGTGACCAGGCAATCTTGATGTCAGCAGGATATAAAGACTATGCCCATGCCACAATTGATATACTGAACACCTTCGCATGGAAAAATATTGTGGTGGTCTATGAAGGTAATTAAGGGGGGTCTCAAAGGGATTGACCGATAGTCGTAAAACGGTCAAATTATTTAGCCGTAAGGCGTAATAATTGACAAATCTTAACCGTTAGTGGTAAAAAAGTTAACCATAAAAAAAATTCTGGTGAAAACAAAAGAAAAATAGTAATTGTTAGCCGTAAATTGGGCCGTAGCGGTAAAAGCCATCACCCATTGATACCCTCAATCAATAATAAGTTGATTAGCTCCTGAACGTTTCACCTTACGGTTTCAATTATTACTCTTTGGCTTTGCTCTGTAAATTAAAGAGAAGTGTTTATATTGGCAGATTCTACTGTTATCAAGCTTGGATACAGCCTCTCTCCAGCCCCCTACTTCAATGAAAAGTTTATGAAATTAACTGCGATAACAATCCTTTCGTTTCACTTTAAACCGTGCATTTGAGCTGTTGGACTGCAAACTTACCTTTGCATATGATATGTCGAATAGCCTGTTAGGTGTGGTATTTAAATGACTTTTAGCCTTCTTTCTATGCTACTGTTTAGAAAGTCGAGTGCACGAGGCTGGCTATTTACACGCCGTATCGCAGAAATCACAACTGAAGTTTGATTTAGTTCAGTTTTCTGAACACGGAAAAATTGAGGAACGAACAGAACCAGCAGACAGAGCGATGGAACAAGTACAGAAATTTGATGCTCAAGTTATTGTTCTTTACATGGAAAACAAAAACATTAAGCTGATGCTGCAAAAGGTAATAATGAAACATCTGTTATAAATTTGCCTTCTTAAAGTCTTTTGTTTTACCAGTGCCATTTTAAAGTTGTCTAACGCGGAATCCGTGGTTCTTTTTATGGCAGAAGCCTTGTCATCTTAAAAAGAATTATATTTGGATTATTCAAGGACAGGTATGATATTGAAATTTGTTTTAGAAACATGCTGGTGCACTGTCACCGGAAGCCAGCCTTAACAATGGGGGTAAACGCTTCTAACCCACGGCAGGTAGTCGTATTATTACCCTTGTAGTCTAATATCAGTATTAACTATACGTTGTAGTTCAATTTTATCCTTGGTTCAAATTTTACTTTACATTGTTTCAAACTCATTATCATACATTAACATAAACGAGAACAAAGGAAAATAAAATTTGAGCCAAGGATAAAATTGAACTACAACATATACAACTTTCGAATAAACCTCTATTGTGTTCAAATCAGCTTACGTCAGTTAACTGTTTTCGTGCTTTATCCTTACCCGCTACAGACTCCCTTAACTTTCACCTGGTATCAAAATGTAGTGGTGACTTTAAAGCTACTTCAGACCTCAGCCGATAATGAACTAAAACATGTAGTTGGATATGGTTACAGCAATTTCATCAACAAGGCAAGTCTACTACATCTCCGGTAGCAGAGTTTCTACTTCGCTATTGCTCCACCGAACGTTCCACCTTTCTTAAACAGTACTCGGCAAAAGTAATGCGAACGATTATCGTCGAATATCGTGCTTTGTTCTTCTGAGATAGCGCCCTATATCACTGAATAAACCGTAGGCCCCTTCTCCTGCAGGGTTAGGGGTAGGAGACGTTAATTTCCCACGCACGAGATTACTGTGTGGTGGATGTCCTCCCCAAGGGTGGGATGGGTGGGTGTTTTGAGGGCCACAAGTTCATTAACTTCTAGCTATTAAGTGCTACCCTCTATAAATTAAGCCAGCCAAACGGCTGACGGCTCTACGATTTGACCAACTTGTGCACAGTCGCCCCTTTCCCCGGATCAAAAAATTAATCATTTAGGGCCTTTTCCTGATTTTTCTGGAGGGTAGGGGGACTATAGACAGGATAAGGTTTGATTAGCTACACTCCAGGGAGAAGTGCTCCTCGAAATTCTGGGTATGAATAAGCTACACAGTTTATAATCCAGACCCAAATATGTTATTTTTTTGCACCTTTTTGCAAAATCTGTAATGAGTTTCCCGAATTCTCATTATAACTTTTTTTCTTAACTCGTTCACGAGCATGCACGATGAGATTGCCATGAGATTATGAACTGCAGTTCATAATCTCATGGTAATATTGGAAGGTGATTCAAGATGAGTGCTCTGTTCGAGGAGCCGTTACGCTCGGGGAGTATGGTTTTAGAAGACTAGAATATCTAACCATTGACGTTATAGAAAGTAGCAAATTCTTCTCGATTATTTTGAGACCTTGAGGGTTGATCCGACCGGGGCTCGAACCCTCGACCTCCCGCATAACAGTCCACCGCACTATCCATTGGGCTAACTGGTAAAGCAGGTTAGTTAATGGCAGCGAATGCTGATGTGGACCTGCTCTAACAGTATTAAATATCATATAAATACATGCAAAAGTAAGTGGAAAAAGTATTTTACTAATTAAAAGTATTTTACTAATTGACTAGAATAAACTATTTATTGTTAAAAGTATATAAAAGTATCGACGTTGTTGTTCGTTGCAGTTGGGTTAGAATCAAATTAAATTACTTCTATAGACTTGTGAAACTTCTAAGGGTGAGTTTTAAATGAGGTTAAGCTTAGGGGCCGACCATTTA